GAGGCGACAGAGGCGATATCTCTCCCGAACTCCTTCTACTTCCACTTCCGGCGATTCACGGCCGATTAAAACCTAAACGAGGTACGTGTTTCTTCTCCTTCATCGGCTTCAGTTGATTTAGGTGTTTAGGGCTTTGTGTCTTCCGTTTCGATTGACGAATTGTGATTAGTGGAATTGGCGTTAGATAGTTTCGATTGACGATTTGTATCCTCTGTTTCTGGTTTTGGTTGCGTTAGATGTGATTAGTGGAATTGGCGTTTGTGAAAATGATTGACAATGAAACAAAATTAGGTTTTTCTTAATATTGGTGGGTTTTCGATGTATGCATATAAACAAATCGATTGATGCTTGGTTTCATTTGTGAAAAGGATTAAGTTGGGAGATTAAATTAAACTGTGTTGTGATGTTTGTTGACTTGAATTTCTTGGATGCATGATTTCATTTATGATAAGTTGTTCTCTGTTTGTATCCTCTGTTTCTTTGATGCATTAAACTGTGTTAGGATAAGTTGTTCTCTGTGAAGTTAATGTACACCTGTTATGTGTGATGAGAGATTATTTATTAATGTGACTCTTTCGAAAATAATTACAATTGTTTCGAATTTGTGAAAAGCTAGTTTGTGTCGTAGTTAGGTGGATTTCTGTAAATGCAGTGTCACCTGTGTAGTTAAAGATGGTTTAGTTTGTTCCCTTTCTGTCTAGGTAGTGTGAAACGTAGTTAGATTGAAACGAGATACTCTTTTAGTTGATTCAAATTGTTAAAGTAAAGTTGATAGGTTTGTAGTTGTTGTTTTTGTAATAACTTCTGAAAAGACCTTTATGGTTTATGGTTAGCCATTAAGTGGCTAACTTACCACAATCCACACTCTCGCCTATTTAACAATAACCTGCCTTCTATAATCAACACCATCTCCTTCTTTTTTATTTAGTCTTCTCTGTTCTATATTGGTATGGATTCTAGTTACATAGGGCTTCTTAACAGTCAACACGAGACTGTTATGAATGAAAACTTTCCTTCTTATGAAAGTTTTCATCTCACCATGAACCTGGGAGCTGAGAATCCCCCTTTCGGTTCCCAACAAACCGACGTGCCTCCTCAACCTGAACCAACACCAGCTAAGAACAGAAGGAAGTGGACGCCTGCTGATGATGAAGTTCTGATCAGTGCCTGGCTCAACACATCTAAGGATGTTGTTGTGGGAAATGATCATAATGCTCGGACCTTCTGGAAACGAGTAGGGGAGTATTACAGGGCAAGTCCTCACGCGAGAGATGGTGGTGTAAGGACAGAGCATCTCCACTGCAAGCAAAGGTGGCACAAAATCAACGATTGTGTTAACAAGTTCTGTGCGGCCTACTCAGCAGCAGAGAGACAAATCACCTCTGGTCAACACGAGACTGAAACTTTCAAGTTGGCGCATGAAATATTCTTCACTCATCACGAGACGAAGTTCAACCTGGAACACGCTTGGTGTTTGTTGAGGCACGAGCAGAAATGGCTTTGCCTCAACACTCCAAAAACTCCGGTTCAAACGGGAAAAGCTGCTGCGTCTGGATCCCAAGCTTCAAGCTCCGATGTTGGTAATCATGAGACCCGACCAGAAGGGATCAAAGCTGCTAAAGCTAAAAAGAAAAATGGCAAGGGGAAGTCGATGGCTGAGTACACGGCTGTTTGGGAGATGAAGAAGGAAGATTTCTCGATGAAGGAGCTGCTCTCGAAGCTTGCTATTCTGGACACCCTACTTGCCAAAAAAGAACGTCTGTCTGGGGCTGAAGAACTGGTCAAGAACAAGCTACTCGCCCTAGTTTAAATAATGTTTTAAGTTGAAATCATGTTCTATGTCGTCTGCCTTTATGTTCTAAGTAGTTTAAATCATGTTCTACGTCGTCTGCCTTTAAGTTCTAAGTTTAAATTATGTTTTCGAATTCCGAATGTGCTACCTTTATCTTTGTACCATCTCTATCTTTATTAATGAAGCGGTTTCATGTTTTAGTTCTTTTTCAAAATCTCATAACTTGACAATATATTTCTCTGCTTCCTCGATATACTTTTTCGTCTGTTAAATGTTTTAATTATTTTTTTTAACTCGCAGAACTTGTTGACACAATATACATCGTTATTTGTTAAATGTTTATATTAACCTTCTCTAACTTATTCTTGCAGGTCAAGTGAAGGATGGGTTTAGATTACAGCTACACACAGCCATCTTCCTTAGAGGCGTATGGTTGCAACTCAGCTGACAGTGGGGAAAGCCAAATCGAAGCACTTATTCGGGAGGACCAAGCTCACCTAAACTACACCAACAGAGAGGTTCACTACCCTCCACAGCCAGAGGTTGAGTTCGGGTTCCCTCAAACATGCTACTGTGGTGCTCAACCACAACTGGCAACATCCCAGAGTAGAAGTAATCCAGGAAGACGATACTACACTTGTGCAAATGCTAACGATGGGGAGTGTCACGTCTGGAAGTGGTGGGACGTGGCATTGGGAGTGGAAGAATTGTCCCAATGGTTGGAAAGGAATGTATTCACGAGGAACCGACAAACCAACAATTGTGTTGGAAGCCGTAGCTTCATATGACCTCTAGATATGGCACACATTTTTTGCAGCTCCAGGTACTATGAACGATATTAATATTCTTGATAGATCACCTGTTTTTGATGACATTATTAACGGAGTTGCGCCAGAAGTTACTTATTTTGTCAACGGAACGGAGTACAATTTGGCTTATTATCTCACGGATGGTATTTATCCCAAATGGACTACTTTTATTCAATCTATCCGGCTACCACAAGGTGAGAAACATTCTTTATTTGCACAAACTCAAGAATCTGTCCGCAAAGATGTTGAACGTGCCTTTGGAGTCCTGCAATCTAGATTTGCCATTGTCAAAAATCCCTCAAAATTATGGGATAAAGCCAAAATATCAAACATATGAGAGCATGTATCATACTCCATAATATGATCGTCGAAGATGAGAGGGAGTCATTCGCTCGATATGATGTTTTCGAATATCCACAAGCAGGAGATGTTGATCTTACATTTTCCGTCGAAATGCCGAGCAATCTCGGGAATATAATGGATCGGCGCACGAGAGTTCGGAATAGAGAAGCCCATGAACATTTAAAAAATGATTTGATTGAAAACATATGGGCTAAATTTGGAAATCTTCAATAAAATTTCTAAATTTTAAATTATTATCAATTTAATAAAAAAATGTTATGATGTTTGTTTTTTTTTTAATTTCTCTGTAATTTTCTTAATATTATGTTTGCAATTTCAATATTTTATGTTCAATTTTATATTTATCTTTATATATCTCATTATTTACCAAAAGACAAAAATATCTCTAAGGACTAACATATTAAGGACGACCAATAATCTACAAAATTACCTAAGTCCTTAACAACAACTCTTAAGTTAACTATAATACTAAAATAACCTAAGGACTAATTTTGGGGGACAACCAATAATCATGCTCTTAGGGGTTTTAAGGGAGGGTTCACACGTTTTTCGAGAGGAACAGTGATGAACTCGGTGCGCGTCGGTTCGTCGTGGTGAACCCGGTTCGTCACGGGTTCGCCACGTGTCGGGTTGTGATTCGGCAATTTTTTTTTTTTCCGAAAAAGTAAAAAAAAAAAAATTAATTTTTTTTTCTATGAACCTTTTCCCATCAGGTTCACTAATGGGGATGCTCTTGCATTACCATTTTTTTACAGCAGCAATTTGTACAAATACAACCACTTCTAATCTTCAGTAACTTTTAATGTATACTAGATCCGTTCCCCGGGCTACGCCCGGGTTGTTTTGTTGAATTTTTTTTTTCAACTATTATAAAGAAAATAATGTGTAGTTAATTAATATTTTTTCATTTAATTATTTTGTTTTATAGATTTATGAATTAAATGTTGGTTTAGTTAAAGAATCGGGTTATTGTGTATTGGGAAGGATTTTTTTCCAATACGTAAAGCTAATATTTTATAATGGTGATAAATTCAATGATTTGAAGAATAAGTTATGTTTACTAACTTATTTCATAAACAATTTTTTTGTCCAACGGACTTAGATTTTTCTGGGCCGATTGACTTACTTGGTTTCTTTGGGAGAAGGAAATTTAAAATTATTCTAACATTTGTCTTCTTTAAAACTTACCATTCACAATTTTAGGAATATGCTTGTGAACATAGCAATTTTATATTTCCTATCCTTTCTGCTCTGGACCGTGGTAAAATCTTCAGCTTGTTTGTTGTACAGTGTGAGTTTAACCGTTGTAGACCTGAGAATGGTTTATATGTTTTACGATAAGGGATGTTGTTACTATGTGTATTGTGTTTGAATTACCTGTTCAAGATTAGACCAATAACGACATCCGTATTTAGTTCTGGATGGTCAAATTGTGTGTGCGTGCCATATAGCTAATATATTATTTAGTTGTATGTGTGTGTATTTAGCATCAATAATCCCCGATATCATCGAATACGAAAATGGTGGAGCACGTGTTTTTGAATTTTAGACGATTAAATGTTTGGTTAGAATCTTTGTTCTCGTGTGCGGCTCATGTGTTTTATGGTTGTGTATATAATTAATTTTATAAATTCTATTGGTTGAATATAAATAATCCATGTTTTTTATATGTTGTGTTTATGATACATTTTCGTTCTTGTATTATCTTAATAATTTTCACATTGGTTTACTGTTAAAACAAAAATTAATTTTTGTAGTTACAGTTCATTTATATAACTTGACTCATATTTGTCTTTTGCATTTCTATATAATCAGAAAGATTTATTTTATTTTAAGACTATAATAATTGTTTTTGTGGTGAAAAGTAATGTTAATTTTCTTAATGTTTTTGGCTTTAAATTTTCGATGTAGAAGTTATAAGACTGGGAGTCTTATTTCAGTCTAAGATGTAGATTTTTTTTATTTTAAAGAAAAGGAACGCTTGAATACTTTTTATTATTATTATTATTATTTTTATTGAATTCACTCTAAAGGTTCTAAACATTAGTCTCCCTACATAGGAGACAGCTAATGTTTGTACGGAGCCATTCTCCAATGCACGGAAAATGAAATTGATGGCCGCACGAAAGAGCACATATGTAATTGCCGTTGTTGAAATTTTCAAAGCACACAGAGCATGTCTCGTTACGTTCTCCCATAAGTGGAGGTCTAGTAGTTCCCTCAAGGTCAGTTATGATGAAGTCGACGTCAAACCTTGCAGTTGCTTCTGGGTTGTTGTCTGTGAGTGTTAGATTAATTTGAAAATGAAAGTTGGTGCCGAGAACGCTGGGTGTTAGTATTTTCGTCATGTATTCCGAAATCTCATGAATAAGCATTGCGGAGTCTTCAGGCTGTATCTGATGGTAATCTAACATGAAATTGATATACTCTGTTTCATTTAAATGACCTTCGTTATCCGCGAAGATTGGTAGCTGGAAATCAATGACTGATTGTTGTGTCATGGGTCTGTGGATGTAGACCTGTAGCGTTATCTTGGGTGTGAGTCCATGAGGTTTAGTTTGGTGTGAGAAGTAGTACCGCAGGAAGGGTTCATTATTCATTTTTTTTGGGTTGACAGTGGTGTTTGTATGTTTTATTTTGGTTATTTGGTAAGTTGGTGTTATATAGATTTAGACTGGCCAATCGTTAGCTTGTGTTTATTTCTTGTAACATATCTTTTATGCAGGCCTTAAATCAGGGAGTTTTTGTTTTTGACCAGTTGTAATGACTTTTGATTTACAAACATATCAAATTTAGTTTAGTTGTTATTGCATAACAAAATTATTCTTACGTCATTATGTTGGCAATAAAAATAAAATTGTTTGTTGTATTTCAGTTTAGACCACATTTAATGTCGTTAGCAATGAAGGCAATAGTAATAAGTCCATGTTTTGGCCCGTTATATATTTGGGGATAATCTAAGGGTTTTTTGGGTGTCATATGGCTAGATTCTTTGATGGACTCTAATCTTGCTATCACTGTAAGTTAACTAAGAAAGTTAATTTAATGTCTCAATGACCAAGGTTCATCCAAACCCAAAGTACTACTCAAGACATACCAAAATAATAGTTGGAAGGTTATTAAATAATGTTGTAAAGGGGAATCTATTAGAAAGTGAAGGGTAGCAAAATATTAAACTGAATCAAAACCAAGTGTTTAGAAAGCTGCAGACGAAAATTCATGGAAAATAAAAACAGAAGCAAAAAACATTACTAAGTTCTATTAGCCAAGCTTTGAACGCTTGGGTTCTTCACCCTCAATCACATCAGCACCTCTTTTCACCGACTCCTCAGCTTGATCCTCCATTGCGTTTTCAGGGGCCTCTCCAGCTTCAGCTGCAATGTTGACCTCATGTTCTTCCTCCTCAAAAGGGAGCACTTTTTTCACAGTCACACTCTGCGCCTTACCAGTTAGGTTATAGGTAGACACCTTGACAACAAACTGCCTGGTTTGTCCTATGGTACTAAGTAGTGCCTGAGGCACTGGGACAATGTGACCCTCTTCTTCAATATTGTTCACCTAGCATAGATTTACACATTGTTAGTACATTTATGCTTGAAAATGAGATTAACTTCTTAATGCTTACAAATGTTATAGTTCCGTTTATACCTTGTAATAGCTGTCCACCAACTCAGCAGCTTTCTTTCCAGTGAGCTCCTCACCAGCATCACCAAGAAGCACAAAGACAGCTTGATCCTTGTGGTCATACACAGATAGCTTCGAGTGGTACCTAGGACAGAGAGGTATTAATAACCATTGCAATAAAATGAAAAATGTGATCGCTTAAAAAACCGCTTACTGTGGCACAGCATCAATCTCATGCTTCCCACACTTCTTACACATGAGAGTTGTTGGCCCTTTGATTGCTTTGGTATGACATTGACGGCAGCCTATATAGTACCACTCAGCACCATGCACAACATCATCAATAGTTGCTATGCATTCAAACCAAGCAACCTGTAAAAAAGATTGTAAATTAAATGTGTTACTTACATTATCGTATGGAATGTATCAGATAGTGAGGAGTGTAATACCTTTGCAGAATCCTGCTTCATATAGGCGAGGAGATCACCCAAACTCACTGTCTCAGGCTTCGTCACCACTGTTGCATCAACCCTGTTCGCAACTTCGAAGTTCGATTCCAACCTGAAACAAATATAAAATCAGCCATCAGATATTTAGAGGAGTTTTTTTTTTTCCTTAAAACAGTGGATCATAAACCTTACCAACTGAGATAGGATCGTGTCTCTTGGATATCAACATCTATGAATACCCTTGAAGCCGTTGTAGAAGACAGAGACAAAACGCCTATCACAAAACGTAAACCATGCTAAAGATGTCAAACCATGTCGTAATGAATTAAATTTATTATTTTTTTAAAAAGAAGTAGGATTACTATCATTATCTGTGATTCAGGTCCTGTCTAGATTATTTCCTATTATCTCTTAATACTCTTTTCAAATAAGCAGAGTAGTGTATTGAAAATGCATGTTTGTACCATTATCCTACAAAAACTAAATTAAAAGGCAGTGCAACAAACCTCGAAATCGTTTCGGATTCAAGGCAGTGACCAAGATAACACTTGCAGTGTTTCCAGATGCTTTGAACTTCTTACAGAAGTCGAAGGCGGCATTATCCCAAAGACACACCTTCACCACTGGGTCACTGTGAGAAGCATAATTTAGAATTTAAAATCAATACTGTAGTCAACTGATTCTTCATTATGGGAAAAAGGTGCATATTAACTTACTCATGTGTTTGGACGTGAAGGTCAAGACGGCGAGATGCAGCTAGCTCTGCTTCGTCAATGAGAAGTTTGTCATTGAGAACATCCCCATTCACAAGTTTGATGTGGCCAACGTAATCTGCATTGTGAAGACAATAAAACACAATATTCAAAATCCCATAAACACAGTTAACCGATCTATATTTCTGAAAGTGGACAAACTTAAATTCCTACGTCTAAAATTCATATTAGATCATTACCATCTCAATATCAGGAAGCGGAGTAAACAATATCATAGGTTTGTAATTTAGAATATACAGTTAATTTGAACGACCTGTTCGGCTTATGCAAGGGTCTGAACTTACCATAAAGATCACCTCGCTTATCTGCGGCGGCATCAAATTCTTTATGGTCATGGAAACGGAACCTATCCTCAGGGAAACAAACAGAGCTGTCTTTGAATTCAGACAGGACTGAATTCCATGAGAGACTTATGGTGACGGTTGGGTCAGCCACACGGTAAATCCTTTTGCTTTGTGACCCAAAAAACCTGGTGAGCCGGTAAGTAGCACCAGATTTCAGGAGAGGCAAATAAGTAGCACTCCTTCCTTGGGGGATGAAACCCTGAATCACATTTTCCTGTTGTGCAAAAGGAAAACAATCTCAGCAAATCTATACTAAAATAACAACAAATTACAGAACAACAACTAAATTAAAGAAACAAACAAACAAACATAAGTTTAAAATGAAAAACGCGAAAGGATCCCCAACAAATTTAAACTTTTATCAGAAACTAATTCATCGAGACTATTTAGCCTTACTTACTAATTACATGAAACTATTAATAGAAAAATCAGCTATCTCGTATTGAACAACAACAAATCACAGAAACTAAGCATTCATTTTGTTTTCATTCTAAATTAAAACACGGAAGGATCTACAACGAATTGAAACTTTAAACAGAAACTTATTGATCGAGACTATTTAATCTTACTAACAAATAACATAAAACTAATAATAGAAACAATCAGCTACAATGGTTTTCATATTGAACAACAACAAATCACAGAAACTACTATTTCATTTTTTTAAAGATTGTAAATCAGAACTCGCAAGGATATACAACAAAGCCGAGAACGAAATAATCAGAACCTTTAATAGAGATTAATTCGTCGAGACTATTTATTCTTCCTAACAACAGATTACGGAAACTAATCTTTTTAAAAAAAAAAAATTCTAAAATTTTATTGGAGATGGAGAGCCAGACGTTCATTACCTCTTCATCGATGAGGAGCATCTCGATGCCTATGAGCGACTTTGACAATGGATTCCAGGCCTCCCAGAAGTGAATCAGCCTAAACCGGACCTCCCCTGCGTTAGGTCCGAAGGTAACGTCTTTGAAAGTTAGGACCTTCCCAACATCGCCGGAGACGATCGACTTCCCCTTCGCGGCGGCGGAGATGGCTTCTTTCCGCGCACCGGCCAGGTTGCGTCCACCGCCGAGGTTGACACCGGAAGAGGAACCGCCTTTTTGAGTAGGTTTGGCCGCCTTCGATATCGCCGCCGGTGGGTCTTCTGCTTTCGTTGATACCGACTGTCCGGAAGAGACACCGGATTCGCCAACGTTTTTGACCGGAACTGATGTCTCCGTCGCTTCGCTGCCTGAAGTCATGGTTTTGATGGGAGATATAGTGAGAAACAGTTTTGGTGCGAGAAATCATGGAGTTGGAGTCTATTATATATATGTATAAATGGAGGAGGTTGAGGTGTAGAGAGACAATGAATGTCAACAATAAAGACTGTAAAGAAGTTGGAGAGGTTTGATTCATCAGAGAAGCCGAAGAGAACGACGGAGACGAATAGAAAGGGAGAATGATCTGATGTGAAAAAAGGGTTTACACTTGCGGCACATAGGTTGTAACGACAGAACTGGGCTATAATTAAGCTTTAGTTATGTAATAAGCCCACCCAGTAAAATGAAAAGCCCAGTCGATGAAATAGAATGGCTGAGCTGTATGAAGAGAGAGATCCCATTGGTGGATTAAAAAGGGTGACGTGGCGAACTAAGGGGGGAGTATTAAGAGCTTTTAGTATAGTATAGATATCCTTTGCTTTACATAATTACATGTATTATGGATCCTCCAAGCCCATTTTACATCACGGAGGAAAATGTTATCTAGGAAAGAAAAAGGAGAAGCAAAATAATATCTTTAAAAGTTCATGTAACAATTTGAATAATTCACGGGAGAGAAAAATGTATGAATTAATAGATAAAGAGTTAATTTAGTACAGTAAGAGTTAGTGGATTTAATACAATATAACACGTATGGCTTTTCATATTAAATGTGATAGTGCTTACACGACCACTCAAAAATTGTCACGTACAAAGATAGACAACAAACTTCAATAACAAGGGAGCACATGACATGTCACATATGTATACATATGGATCTCAGTTTCTTCTTCTTTTTTGTTCAAAATCTCAGTTTCTTCTAAAATAACAAGGGGAACACATATACATGCATATGTATATATCCAACTTAATTTCCTTTAAATGTAGATCACACTTGTATGTGTTCTTACATACTTACATGGCTTTTACTTTCAGGCGGGATCCGTGTTAAATAGGAAATAGTATGTTAAAGAATTATGCTACATAAAAACTGAATCGGGTCCAAAGTTATTATAGAGAATTACCAACTTGAAAACCTTAACACTTCTATATACTCTTTTTTTTCCTTTGGCGGGGGACAACATGCCAAATCTAAAATCTCGAAGGAACAAAACAACATTTAATGATGTCACTTTTTTGCAGAAAATATTAAGCTGATTGCCTAAATGAACAATATCTCGCCGACAAATTTCCATTCAATAACATTGACTTTATTGTTACCTCTTTTGATTTGAAACTCGCTCATTTTTCCCCTAAAGAAATTTATCTCCTGTCTTTTTCTCCTTTTCTCCCTAAACCTAATAAATATAGCATTTGCATCTAACGTGTTCTCTAACGCAAAAATGTACGCTAACTATATTGTCTATCTCACCATACTCGGAATCTTCACCGTCTCCCTCACTGCCGGTGAAAGATTCAAGGAGGCTCCAGAGTTCTTCAACTCCCCGGAGTGTCTCACCCTCCAAAACGACGACGATATCGCCTATTCAGACAAAGCCGTCCACGTAGCAATGACCTTAGACGCAGCTTACCTCCGTGGCTCAATGGCAGTGATTCTCTCCGTTCTCCAACACTCTTCTTGTCCACAAAACGTTGTTTTCCACTTCATCACTTCAAAACAAACCCACCGACTCCAAAACTACATCGTTGCTTCTTTCCCTTACTTGAAGTTCCGAGTTTACCCTCACGACGTAGCCGCCATCTCCGGCCTCATCTCCACCTCCATCCGCTCCGCGCTCGACTCTCCTCTAAACTACGCAAGAAACTACCTCGCCGACATCCTCCCCACGTGCCTCTCACGTGTCGTCTACCTAGACTCAGATCTCATACTCGTCGACGACATCTCCAAGCTCTTCACTACTCACATCCCCGACGACGTTGTCTTAGCCGCTCCTGAGTATTGCAACGCGAACTTCACCACTTACTTCACACCGACATTTTGGTCAAACCCTTCTCTCTCCATCACACTCTCCCTCAACCGTCGTCGTCCACCGTGTTACTTCAACACGGGAGTGATGGTCATAGAGTTAAGGAAGTGGAGACAAGGAGATTACACAAGGAAGATCATTGAGTGGATGGAACTACAGAAACGGATCAGAATATACGACTTAGGGTCTTTACCACCGTTTTTACTTGTTTTCGCCGGAAACATAGCTCCGGTTGATCACCGTTGGAACCAACATGGTTTAGGAGGAGACAACTTCAGAGGACTGTGCCGAGATTTGCATCCAGGTCCAGTGAGCTTGTTGCATTGGAGTGGTAAAGGGAAACCTTGGGTAAGGTTAGACAGTGGTAGACCTTGTCCGCTCGATGCGCTTTGGGCTCCATATGATTTGTTAGAGCCACTGTTCGATCTCATTGAGAGTTAGATTAGAGTCTAGAAGTTACTTTTTATTTTTAATTTTTGAATACATATTTTTTACTGGATGTGAAGAGGAGTACTAATATTTAATTTGAATAAAACTGTAGGAAGGATAGTGCGATATGTAAATTATTGCATGCTTCTAGCATTATACAAAGGATGCCTATACGGTAATGGTAAATTGTGACGCACGGATGGGTCACAATTGGGTCTAATGAATAGTAATCAAATTTGATTTATATACGAGATTTTAGGCTTCTAAAAAGTTAATAGACAGGACTAGCAATTACCTTATAATTATTTATTACGTGTTTAGATTTTTATATTTTATACAGAACAAAACTAGGGTTCACCCCCTCTCGTGAATTTTCTAATTCACCTCAATCTTTAACACCAATCAAAAAGACACATAGGATTAGTAAGAAAAATATTAAAACTTTTTTCTTATAAAAGAAATTAGCTTTTAAAAAGAAAAAAAAGAGAAGACGTCTCCGTTAAAAAGGTATAGAACGTGCTTCTTCTTCTTCAATTCATAGTTGCTTTGTTTGCGCAAGGAATAAACGTGCTCTTGATATTATATTTTAGGTTTGAGAATTCTTATCTTTGAACTAAATGACTTACGGGATTTATTATGGTTAAATATTTCGACAATGACTAGAGCTCGTGCCAAAGCTGAGAAAGAGAGAATGAACATGAATGTTCAAAAAAAGTTCTCTTTATATGGGTGATGAATGGAACCGTCAAATCTTTAAACTTTGAGATATATGATAGAGTTTTTCCTACTACTTTAACAACTGGTGCAAACAAATCTCTGAACCTCAAAAAGATCAAAAGACTGAAGAAAACTAATGGCACAAATCAAACATAGCTTAAGATAAATGTTTCTCCTCAGCAAGCACATCCTCCTCTTTACTCAGGCTCTGAACCAGACTCTTGAATCCCCTGGAAATATCTGCCAAATTCAAGAAAATTGTTTCAATGGAACAGTTTCATCATCCACGATTCATCTACATTGTAATCTTCTTTTGTCGATGTCTCCTAATAGAATATGTTCCCTTTTGAGCACACCATTCTCTAGCTTTCTTCTCTGATACCTGATGTTAATGTATTACATCAACACAAGGAACATAACAGTTAGTTATTACAAACATTTACAACTGTTATAGTAATCATATTATATCATTCATAATAATAACAATAATATTACTTCATCTTTTCAGTTTTGTCTATATCAAGAAGCTAAGGCTGACTTACCACTTGACTGTTTCCTCCATCAATATCAACCTTGTTACCAAGCAATATGAACTGGAATGCAGTTGGATCCCATAGGCTAGCCTAAGAATCTTCCAGAACAAAAATTGGAGTAGAAAGGTACAAAGGGATCCCGTAGGCTAGCCTAAGAATCTTCTTGCGCCAACTGTCCAGAGAATCAAATGACTTGAGGTAGTTAACATCATAAACAAGCACACAACAATCTGCACCTATGTAGAAAGCAACACCAAGACTATAGAACCTTTCTTGCCCAGCAGTGTCCCAAATTTAAAGCACACACAGACACAAAGACTAGAAACTAAAACAAATAGCAAATAAGAAGACAAGAGAAGAAACATACTCGCAGTGTGATGAGCATGTCATCGATTTGAAGCTCCTTGGTGACAAAATCAGCTCCAATCGTGGCTTTGTACTGTTGACTAAACTTATTATTCACATATTTACCCAGAAACCTATTAAAACTTCCACAGATTCTGAAAAAGAAAATTGAAAACCAAGAACACTAAAAATCTGTATGTAGAATGCTACTGCATGAACCACAATTGCACACTACCGAGACATTTGATGTGTACGAGGAAAAATAGAGGATGAAGTATTCCTCCTTGGGGGCTTGCAAGTATGAATCCCATACCATCACCTTATTCGTCTCCAGCGATTATGCTTTTACAGACACAAGTTGATCTTTTTAGCTTATAAGGCAACATGGCTTGATTTATATTTAGAAAAGGTGAAATCGAAATTGGATTTGAAAGCATAGAATTGGAGACTCAAACTTGACAAACAAAGTTTACTTCCTATCTTCATTCTGGGTAATGAAAAACAAGCAGCTTAAGGAGATCACGTTCTATCGGCGACGTCTTCTCTCTCTTTTTTTAAAGATATACTAGAACTTGACCCGCACCCCCGTGCGGATGTTTGATTTAACTTGTGTTTAATGTAAATTCATAAACCGTTGGTTTTTTACAAATTTTTTTTTATGTTTTGTAATATACATATAAAGTAAAATATATTATTTTATAATATAAATATTTAATAATAATTTTTATTTGTACATAATAGTGTATTAGAAATTTTATAACTTGATGCAATTTGATGTAATCGTACTATTCATATACTAACATGTTTTTTTTGTTAATTTATTTTAAAATAAAACAACATACTAAATTTTTTTTTTAATTAGTTTTCTATGAATTATCATTAATTTTATGATTTTTTTTTAAATTGAACTCACACAATTTTATATTTGTCTAAATTAAATAAGGTAATATTATATTTAAAAATTATTTTATATAATGTATACTATATATTTCGGTTTATGTTTTTATTTTCATCTCAGAGAAAGAAAAATCATTGAAATTAATTAACTTAAACTGATTTTAAATGCAATGACATAATCTGCAAATAAAAAGAAATATAAAAGGAAAGTATTTAATTTATTGTAAATACAATGACTAAATATACCAATAAAAAAAAATACTTAATCTACTATCCATGTTTTCAAACAATGTTTCATTTATTTTGCTATCCTTATTTCCAAACAGTACCAAAAGGTACTTCAGTTTTAATAATATAGATTCCATTTTTTTTTTAAAATAATACCTTTATTATTAATCCTCTGTGTCAGTTTGATTAGTGTTAAAGATTAAGGTGAATTAGATAATTTACCACAGGGGATGAATCCAAGTTTTGTTTTTTTATACACTCCGCTTAACCACTCCACCGATGTTAAATAAATTACACTGTTGTCAAAAAAAATAAAAAATCACACTATTAGCTATTGAAAAAAAAACTTAAATATTACATTTAAACTTTTAGTTCTTACAAATCTTTAAATAACACAGAGTGACTAATGTTTGTTAACCTAACAAAGTTAACGATGTGTCTAATTGTATCAACATCCTTTTTACAGAGTGTGTAAAATGCAAACATATTTTGGTCAAAAAACAAATACAATCATGTTGATGAGTCTTCTTATTAAACCGAACTTAAACTAAGTTTCGTTCGTCAAAACAAAGTTTAGAGATCTTTTTCTTTACATCATGAGCCAAATCGTAGAGGATTCATCTTCCATAGCCTATAATGACATCTTACAATGAAGTGCATATCATTTGTCATGTGAATTAAATTATGTTTTGGTAGCTAAGTCATGCAAAAGAAATAATTTAGTACAATTATTCGATATGATTTTAACAAATATTTGATTATTACAATGATATTGTCATGGTAGTTGCAGTTTTTTCTTGGTTTCATCTCATATTTGAGCTATCTGGGTTCTAAATTAGGCCCTCTTATCTCTAATTGATGTAGCGACATCTCCTATTCTTCTTTGGCTTTTTATAGTGTTTTCCTTTTCTATTTTGATTTCCTTTTTCTTCTTAGTTTTACATTATTACCTTTTCCTTTAAGTTATAGGTCTCCAATGTGAGCCTATATATAGAGAGCTATTCTTTTGGTTTTAGACACAACTTTTGATTATTGATTTATAATACTTAGAGCTTTGGTTTTAACAAACTCTTGAATCCTTATTTATGGGCATTCTTTAAGAATTCAACAGACCTAAGAAGGCTAAGCTAACGGGTATTCTCAGAATTCAACGTTACCTTTGCATTATCAGTTACTAATGGTACTTCCGCTCCGTCAGTTGTATCAGAGACTTAGAACTTCGATTCCTATCGTTATTTCGATCTTACGATGGATCCTCGGCAAGGGAAATAACCAGCCAACGATTGGACACACTTTCAACAATTCTTGGAAGACTTCCAGGAACACTTTCATGATGAACTTCGCCGAACCTTGGCTGAATCAATTCAGACCGGAGTTCAAGCCGCGCTTCAAGCAAACGCACCACGCGCACCACCACCCCACTGTCAACACCACAATATCAACCCCATCTTCGAAGACCAAAAGGAAGATGATGACCTTGCTAATCCTTTTGGAGGAGACAACCAGCATCGTCATCAAAGACAGCATCGGCTCGAGGATAATCCTCGATGGATGGCGGGTATCAAGATGGATATTCCCGAGTTTCATGGTACTTCTCAACCAGAAGAGTTACTTGATTGGTTTGTAGCTGTCGATGAGTTCTTAGAGTTCAAAGACGTTCCAACAAACAAACAAGTATCCTACGCAACGACTTGATTCCGCGGCCACGCCGCATCTTGGTGGAATCAACTAAAGATCTCACGTACTCTTCGTGGTAAAGATAAGATCATCTCATGGGATAAACTCAAGAAACAGATGCGCACAACTTTTATTCCATATAACTTTGAGCGCCTTTTGTTTCAAAAGTTTCATAATATTCGCCAAGGATCTCTTTATGTGGAAGATTACACGAATGAGTTTTATCTCATGTTAACTCGTGTAGACATCCATGACTCTGAGGATCAACTGGTAGCTCGCTTTATCGCAGGGCTCAGACCGCAGTAACAAACGATGCTGCATCAATTCGATCCGAGTTCTGTAGCTGAAGCTCGACAACGAACATTGTTGGTCGAGCAACAAACAAAATATTCTACAAACTCTTGGGCTGGAAACTCGAGACAACGCAGCAATGATGACAATAAACCATCACCAGTATCGGAGACAGCAACAAGAGCCCAAAGAAATAACAAAGCTCCCGAACCAGCAGCAACAAACGTCAATTCTCGACCCTTGAGACCCAACGCGTTACGATGTTTTTCATGCGGCAAAAGAGTTCACCTGTAAACGGCTTGTCTGACACGTGGACGCCGAGGATTAATTGCCAATGAAAGAGAGCTACCGGGGATCCTATATATGATGATGCTGAAGGCGATCAAGAAGAAGCCATCGATGAAGAACAAGTAAGTGGTGACATAAGAACGTTCCTCATGCTGCGATGCAACTGTCTTGCACCTAAAACATCTGAAGCTTGGCAACGGACAACGTTATTTAGCTCTACCTGCACAAAGGAAAAGTCTGTCGCTTTGTTGTCGACTCGGGATGTTCAGCAAACTTTGTCTCAGAAGAAGCGGTCCGTAAGCTTTCCCTCACAACAGAGACGCATCCTCACCCCTATAGACTTCTCTGGATGCAGACATGAGCAAAGGTTCATGTGTCTTAACGGACATTGCTCTCGCTCTCAATTGGTTCCTTCTACAAGGATACTCTCAATTGTGATATTGCCCCGATGGACGTCTCTCACATCATACTCGGCCGACCTTGGCAATATGATCGTGAAGTTATTCATAATGGCAAGTCAAATACTCATTCTTTCATGTTTCAAGGACGCAAGATCACGCTACTTCCGTCACCAGACTCGGATAATCTCCTTACCACTACTACAAAGGTACACACTGCAAAGCACAACTTGTTCCTGATTTCCAAATCCCAGTTCGAAGAAGAACTGCGAACACCGTGCCCTTTGTTTGCATTGGTCGCGACTGACACAACTCGTTCTCAAAACTCGGTAATTCCGTCAGCATTCAACTCTCTCGTGGAAGAATTTGTTGATTTATTTCCCAACGAGCTCCCTGCAAGATTACCACCCTTGCGCGACATCCAACACAACATTGACCTCGTGCCAAACGCAGTGTTACCTAACCGGGCTCATTACATGATGAGTCCTGAGGAACATGGAAAACTACGCCGATAGGTAGAAGACCTACTTCGTAAGGGATATGTCCGCGAAAGCTTAAGTCCATGCGCTGTGCCGGCCCTTCTCATTCCAAAAAAGATCACTCATGGCGTATGTACGTCGATAGTCAGGCTATTAATAAGATTACCAGACGGTACCGATTTTTGATCCCTCGGTTAGATGATATCCTTGATCAAATCGGTAAAGCCTCTGTTTTTACTAAACTGGATTTAAAAAGTGGTTATCATCAAATTCGTATCCGTCTTGGAGACGAATGGAAGACATCATTTAAGACGCGGGAAGGTTTATTTGAATGGCTAGTCATGCCGTTTTGTTTATCTAACGCGCCTAGCACGTTCATGAGGATTATGAATCAGGCTTTACGTCCATTTATTGGAAATTTTGTTGTCGTCTATTTTGAAAACATCCTCATTTTCAGTTCCTCCATAGAAGAACACCTCCAGCCTCTGCGGGAAGTTCTCTTCGTTCTGCGTCGAGAGAAACTTTTTGTGGCGAAACAAAAATGAGAGTTCGGTGTTACAGAAGTCTTGTTTCTTGGTTACGTTGTCACTGCTTCAGGATTACGTGTTCATCCACAGAAAGTACAAGCAGTTTCGTCTTGGGCTACTCCAACTACGATCTCTGAAGTTTGAAGCTTCCATGGGTTAGCTTCATTCTATCGCCGGTTTGTACACAATTTTAGTGCAATTATGGCGCCTATCACAGATTTTATGAAGCACACAACGTTCGAGTGGACCACAGAGGCGTCTCTGGCGTTTAACCTTATCAAAACCAAACTCACAACGGCTCCTATTCTTATTTTGCCAGATTTTGACGTTCCTTTCGAGTTGCACTGTGATGCGTGCAAACTTGGTATCGGGGCCGTCTTAAGTCAACAAGGCCGCCCAAGAGCCTATTACAGCGAAAAATTAGCTGGTGCTCGTGCACGTTATAGCACGTATTGCGTCAAATTCTACGCCTTTGTGCAAGCAATAAAACACTGGAGACATTACTTGGCGCATAAAGAGTTTGTCTTATTC